CCAACATCTTTTTTTTTTTTTAATTTATTAAAGATTTCTGTCTCTTCCCCACCTCCGCCTCCCCTTTCCCTCCCCCTTCCCCAATCAAATCCCCCTCCCTCGTCAGCCCAAAGAGCAATCAGGGTTCTCTGCCCTGTGGGAAGTCCAAGGACCACCCTCCTCCATCCAGGTCTAGTAAGGCGAGCATCCAAACTGCCTATGCTCCCATAAATCCAATATGTGCAGTAGGATTAATTACCCATTGCCATTGTTCTTGAGGTCTTAGTAGTCCTCTTTGTCCGCTATGTTCAGCGAGACCTGTTTTAACCCAGGCTTTTTCAGACCCAGGCCAGCTGGCCTTGGTGAGTTCCCGATAGAACATCCCCATTGTCTCAGTGTGTGGGTGCACCCCTCCCGGTCCTGAGTTCCTTGCTCCTGCTCGCTCTCCTTCTGCTCCTGATTAGGACCTTGAGATTTCAGTCCGCACCAACATCTTTGTGCTTGCTTTTGTGAATTCAAGAGTTGCAAAGAGTAGTTATTTTCTTCCATGAAGAGCCTTTGTGTTGTGATCTTGTTGCATGACCTGCTTGGTCCAAGCAGTGCCTCCTCAGCTCTGAGGTTCCCACCACCTTACTCTCTGTGCCCAGCCTGATTCTGTTTTTTTTTTTTTTTTCACCAAGAGGAATCTATACTTCACTGTCTTCAACAAGTCATTTTCTTCACGGAGCGCTCTTGACTTTTCTCTTTAACTTAGCTGAATCCCTTACTTCTCAGCTTAAAGCACTGATTCAAAAATTCTGATTCAAACTAATCACATGCTTTAAAGTTTTACTTGCTTCAAAATATGTGTAAGCGAAACAGTGGTCTTAATTTCCTTTAGTAGTGGCAAAGGTTTTTCACTATTTAGTATTAAAATAATTTATTAATTTAGAGACAAGGTCTTTCTGACCAGCAACTTGTGATTGTCCTGCCTCAGCCAGCCTCAGGCTGGGGTGTGCACCGCTGCCATTTGCTCCTGTTTCTGTATGTGTTCATGGGTGCGGGCGTGCACCTGTGTTTGCATGCACGAGGAGACCAGAGGATAACTCCAGTGTTGCTTCTTATAAGCAGTCCACCTTTCTCTTAGAGGCAGGGTCTCTCACTGGGACCTGGAACTCGCCAAGTCAGCTAGGCTGCCTGTGACCCTTAGGGTCTGCTTGTCTCTGCCTCTCCAGCACTGAAATTACACACACATATGGCATGCTTGGCAAAAACCAAACCAAAGTGAGGGCTCTGGGGGCTCTCCTGTGGTCCTGATGCTTAAGGCAAGCACTTTACTAACTGAGCCATCTCACCAACTGACCACCCCCACCCCCCAACCACATTTTTTTTTTTGTCGCTGTTGGTAGTTGACCTGCTTTCTGCCTTTTCTTTCACAGTGTTCCCTGAGACTGGATGCAGCTGTGATGTAGCTGTATCTGCTGGGGCCGGATTCCCCTCGACCCATGGACCTCTGCATCGTGATTTTGGGATGGTTTCCACCTGCTGTAAAGTGAGGTTTCTCTGATGAGGGGGATAGCTACATTTATCTGTGGGTCCCCTGATGCGGGAGAATTATCTGTATTCTGTCAGTCATGTGTTTTAATAAAACACTGATTGGCCAGGCAGGAGGTATAGGTAGGTCAACCAGACAGGAAGTAGAGGCAGGGCGATGAGAACCGGAGAATTCTAGGAAGGAGGAAGCACATTCCCCAGTCCGGCCCAGACCACCAAAGAAACAACATGTGAGCTGCCCTGCTGAGAAAGGTACTGAGCCACGTGCCTAACACAGATAAGAATAATGGGTTAATATAAGCTACAAGAGCTAATAAGAAGACTGAGCTAATGGACCAATCAGTTTATAACCTGATGTAGACCTCTGTGTGATTTTCTTTGGGACTTGCCAGCTGTGGGGTACCAGGCAGGACAGAAACCCCACAAGCAGGCCCTCATGTTACAGTCCCCAGATAAAATGCTGGCGTGGTACAGTGGTGGTCGTAGATTCTTTCCTAAGGCCCACAGCGTCAGTATTTCCTGGGAAGCTGGCTAGGTATGTAGCACCAGGCATGCTTTCCCTCCTGTGGAGTGGGACTTACGTCCCTCTAGACAGCTGTGGGCTGCCACTGACATGTGAGTGCCACTTGCTGCACCTTTGTGCATGTTCTAGCTGGTTCTACTGATATGTCAGCTTGACCTGAGCTAGAATCATCTGAGAGGAGGGAACCTCCATTGAGAAAATGCCTCTGGAAGATCCAGCCTAGGGCACTTGCTTAATTAGTGATTAAGGGAGGGCCCAGCCCATTTTGTGTGGGGGGTCACTGCTGGGCTGGTGGTTCTGGATTCTGTAAGAAAGCCATGATGAACAAGCCAGTAAGCAGCGAGGGCTGGAACAGCACTTTAGTGGTTAAGAGCTTCGATTGCTCTTGCAGAAAACCCACTTTCAGTTTCCAGTAACCACACGGCAGCTCTCAATATCTGTAACTCCAATTCTGACTTCTGTGGGCAGCAGTCGTGTGCGTGGAAAGCATGCATATATGCCAGTAAAATAAGCATACACACAAATATATGTAGTACAGTGTTATTAATGATGGTAATCATAGTCCCAATGTTGCTTAATTGGTCTCTTGAGTACATTCCCTTTGTCTAACTGGTTAGTTTTCCTTCTGTGCTTGGGTTTGGGCCCAGAGACTTATGACTGCTAGGCAAGTGTTGTACCCCTGGTCCTTTGACCAGTATCTCCCCAAACTTGTGGGTCCTCAGTCGTGGTTCCTTGTTCTGTCTTCTTAAGAATGCAAACCCTTATATAACTGAAATCATGTGGCATTTCTCAATGTCTGCATGTTTTACTGAACATGCTGTTTTCAGATACCAGGAATTCCCTCCTCCTCCTCTTCTTCCTCCTCTTCTCATCTTTTCTCCTTTTCCTCCTCATTCTCCTTTCCCTCATCATCATCTTTTTGTCCTCCTCCTCTTCTACTTTTTTTTCTTCCTCCTCCTCCTATTCCTCCCTTTTAGGCCCATCACCCCCTTTGTTGTAGGATGCTTTGCTTTTTATTCATTTTATAATTTCTTTCCGTTTGTGGTGATGATTATTTTTTTATCCATTTGTTTATCTATTTCAACATTTTTATTTTGGCTTGCAGAATAGTTGGCTTCATTATGGCGTTTTAATACCTGCTAGGTTTTTGTTGACTCTCTCCCCATCTCCTCCTCTCCTATTGTTCCTCATTTCCTATTTCCACCTAAACCCTTAGGATTTCTTTCTTTTAGTGAATGAATAATATTTCATTCATTTTACATATGACAGTTTTATGCTTTGATCAGACACTGAGGTTGAATCCGTGTGATCAATGAATGCTTTCACGACTAGGAGTCGTGAGTCTAGGAGTATAAGTGTCTCTACCATTCAAATTTCATTGGACTATAAAGAAGAAAACTACACTTATCTTAAATGCAGTCAGTGACTCTTAGAAACAGTACATACCTACAAAATCACACCTGAATGTTTACAGTAAGCCAGAAACCCTTTCATGTTCCTCTCCTGTTATGTCCTCAACAGAGCAGGGAAATTCCCTGCCATGAAAGACCCTACCTTGGCTCTTCCCTGCCTCCTACCAGTTTGACATGCTATTCCTGCCAATGGGAGCATTGACCAGCACTATTCCCACACCTCTCAGATCTTCAACACAGCCACCAAAATATGTTTGAGCCAGGCACAGTGGCATATACCTCTAATCCCAGCAGCTGGAAAGTTTGAGGCAGAAAGATCAAGAGTTCAAGGCCAGTGTGGTGGTTTGAATAAAAATGACCTCCATTAGCTCATAGGGAGTGGCACTCTTAGGAGATGTGGCCTTGTTGGAGGAAATGTGCTTTTAGGGGGTGAACTACGAGATCCCAATTGCTCAAGCCAAGTCTAGTGTGACATTCACTTCCTGCTGCCTTCATATCCAGATTTAGAAACTCCCAGATCCTTCTCTACCACTGTTTCTTCCTGCTTGCCACTGTGCTTCCCACCGTAATGATAAAGGACTAAACCCCTGAACTGTAAGACAGCCACAATGAATTGTTTTCCTTTATAAGAGTTGCTGTGGTCACGGTGTCTCTTCACAGCAGTAGAACCCTAACTTAGACAGCCAGCCTCTGCCTTAAAGGAAGTTGAGACCAATTTAGGTTAGACGAGACTGTGTCTCAGAAAGAAAAAGAAAAAAAGAAAAAAATTTCAATAGCCAGAATGCTTGTTTTTATTTTTGGTTAGGTGTATCTGTCTGTGCACATGTGTACAGATGTCTGAGGAGTACAGATGTCTGAGGATTCCAGAGGTGCCAGATCCCCCTGACCCGCAGCTGTAAACTACTTTATGTACTGGGACTCAAACACGGGTCCTATGCAAGAGCAGTGTGTGCTGTTTACTGCTGGCTTAGCTCTTCAGTTCCCTCATAGTTTTTAAAAATCAAAAAAAAAAAAACTTCAGAGAGGTAAAAGGAAGTACTTATTAAGCTTCTGCTACTCTAGTTTCTCTCCAGTGTAATAATTCTTATAGCTATTTTACTCTCGCAAATGATGGAGAGCAAATCTAGTTAATGATATTACTATATTCCGTTATTTTTTACTTTATTGTATTTATTTTATTATTTTATTTATTTATTTATTTTATTTCATTCCATATCAATACATTCTGAGCTTATTTATTATCTTATAAATACCGTGCCAAAAATCTTTAAATTTTTTTTCAAATTACATTTGTTTGTGGGAGTGGGACATGCACGTGTCATGGCACACCTGCAGAGGTCAGAGGACAGTTTAAGGGAGTCGGTTTACTTCTTGAACCACATGGGACCTGGGGAATCAAGCGCAGGTTATCAGCTTTGGTGATAGTGCCTTTTCCTGCTGTGCCGTTCCCTCAGTCCTAAATACCATTCTGTTGTAAGTATGGAACTAGGATTATGTTTTCAGTTGTGTTTTTCTCTCTGATTTGGTTCTGGAGGTCGAACCTGAGCCTTGTTCATACAGGAAGTCACTCCCGCAGTCCTGCCTGGACATATTCAAGTAGCTAACAACTGCTCATCTTGTTTGATATTTAGGCAATGTGTTTGGAATGTTATATATAATTTGCAAATTGTATATCTCTAGTGAACACCTATATCTGAAGGATTAGTTCTAGAAATGAGGCTCCTGAGTCAATGAGAGTCAGTACAGGAATTTGTGCAGGTTCCTGTTACATCACTCTGTAAATCTTCACTACCTGAAGCTCCATCTGTCTGTGCAGAGTTCACATCAAATGTTCACAGATGATGTAATAGAAAAAAAAAAAGATCCCTGGGTCCCTTTAGCCCCCTAGGATCTTTGTGTCAGATACAGGCTGCTTGCCACAGCTCTACTGTGTGAGACTATCTTTACCTGCTTAAGCTTTTCTTACTTGATTGAAAAATAAATACAAGGAGAAGAAAATACTAATGGCCATTTGAAGCCTTTTCTTTCTTTTCTTTTTTCTTTTTTTTTCAAGAGATCAGAACAACATGGCTTCTCAAATCTTATTGAGCATGCCAACATCTAGCCAGATGTCCATCTCTGTGAATCAGTATCCATGGACTGAAAACTGCATAACCAAGGGTCAGAAATTCTTGAAAATGCATTGTTAAGGAGTCATTCTTCCAAGAGAAAGATAAATGTAAAGAAACGAAACAATCTGTCCAGTAGAAGAAAAGAAAACAGAGCATCAGAAGGAGGGCACTCTGAGCAGCTCTCAGCTCAGGGGGAGTTCTGTACAGAAGCTTGGAGTTCTGAAGATAGTGGACATGCTGGTGGTGTTTGTGGAGAAGAAATACCATGTAGCCACTAGCGCCTCCCATGGCTCCCTGAAACACAGCATCTCTCAGGACCATGAGCATGAGAAAAATGTTGTTTATTTTCTGACTTTCTTTTCTGAAATAACAATATTTACCATTACTCAGTTGCAGTGTGTTTGTACCTCTGTTTCTGATGGAATGGAGGATGTTCATGCTGATCACAGAATTGAGAATCCAGAAGAAAAGCAAAGAGAAAAGCACATACCCGGGAGACCTCAGTTTGAGGCTCCCCCACCAAGAGACTCTGGGACTGATGATGATGGCCTGGACCACAGTGAGGAGACTGCTGGTGCAGATGGAGAGGCCCCGGACCACCCTTCTTAGATAAAGAAGAATGTGACAGCCTAAGTCCCCTAGGAAGTGTCTCAGACCTAAGGCTTCAATTGTTATTTGCATGCCCTTGAGCAGAAACATTATAATATTTGTAAAAGCCAAGTGGATGAGAATAAGATGTATGGATTTCTTTCTAGAGCCCACAAAAGTGCATATTTGATTGACAAAAACAGAAACATTAGCCATAGTGCCAAGTCCAGTTAGAAGAAGAAATATTGTTATTTCATCAACATTCAAAAACATTTCTAATTTCATGGTCAGAAAAATTTTGGATCTTCCAAGTAGAGTTTGAAAAAATGATTTGTATCTATAAAATATACTTTATCTCATAGTGTGTTTCTGTTATATAAAAGATGTCCCCGACATGCATTGGAACAATTTTTCTGTCTAAAGAATTATACTTTCTTTTTTTCTCTTGTTAGTCTTTATGGGACAGCTTGTACCTGAAGTGGGATCTGTGGGAGAACATAAAAATATTTGAAATTACAAAGCGTACTTATAATAGCAAATAGACTTCTATATTAGCAAATTAGATTACATGTTCAGATGTTTACATATTCCATGTATTTTGAACCTCAGCATGTGTTTAAATAAAGTCAAGTGTTCACCAACCTTGCTTTTCCTATTGAATTTTGTTACCACTCCTGTGATTCAGTTCCCAACAGCAGCTTCCCTTCCCCTCTCTCCCTTCTGCACACCTAGTGAACAGACACTTTGGTAAAAAATTGTGTCAAGGGGGCTGGAGAGATGGCTCAGCGGTTAGGAGCATTGCCTGCTCTTCCAAAGGTCCTGAGTTCAATTCCCAGCAACCATCTGGCTCACAACCATCTGTAATGAGATCTGGTACCCTCTTCTGGCCTGCAGGCATACACACAGACAGAAAATTGAATACAAAATAAATAAATAAATAAATAAATATTAAAAAAATTGTGTCAAGCATGGTGGCTCACGTCTGTAATCCCAGCACCTGAAGAAGGGTGAGGCAGGAGGATTACTGAGGATTCACTGCAATTACATTCAGCCTGACCAACACAGCGAGTTTCAAGTCAGCCATAGTCTCATAACAAGACCTTGTCTGAACCTCTACCCCAAGAAAACCCTGAACACCCCTCAAAACAAAACAAAATAACCCTATCTTACAGCATCAACATTAGCTGTTTTCAGAGTGCAAGACTTTCCTTCTTCTGTAATGTCTTTTGTTTTGTTACTATGTGATTTTTCTTTTAAAATGAACATGGCAAAGACCTGTTTTATGTACTGTCTCTAGTTGCTGTGTCTTTGATTCATATATCTTTATACTCCAGAGGTGTAGGTCACTATGCCTTTCTTTTATCTTTTATCTTCAAGATCACTGGCAGCAAGAACTGTGTGAACATTGGCTTGTGCCTTAGTCTGCGATGACACAGCCTCATGAGTGGAAACGTCGGGTACCTTCTTTCAGCCTCAGTTTCCGTGGCTGCAGAATGAGAGGTTACGATCTGTAGCCACACGTTAAACAAAGCATGCTGTGATTTGAAATTCACAGTCCATAGGGCACGAAAACACCAGGCATGGCAGCAAGGACGGTTATAACAAGGAAGTTCAAATTGGGGCTGATTAAAAATTTAGTTAGAGATCTAGAATCCTAAGAAAAAAATTTCAGACTATTCCCCGCTATCCTCATGTCATTAATAAATACTTTTATGTTTTTATGATTTGGGTCTAGTGTTTGCCATTTTTCCAGGATCCCTACCTTAATGTTAGTGAGGACCCAAAGCCCCCAGACAGGTTTAGCGTAAGCTATTACAATAGCTATTACCTATTACAATGCTTCCGTTAGTTGTTTACTGAACAATTTGAACAGTAGCAAGGGACAGAGTGGGGAATTACGTTCCTAAGTAGCTCTTGAATTATTGGAGACTACTTAAAAGGCCATGGCTTACGCTGAGTTATGGAACAACCCAGGCAGGCAACTGTGCCCATTTCAGACATGGTTGTCTCAACTAAAAATGGGAACAGTGCTTGATGCTTCATAAAACTAAGTCTAGCTCACAATAGATTACATTAACTCATAACCTGGTCAAGTAATAGTTTTCTCCTTCATACTGATATATAATGATGAAATTGACTCAGAGGTGTAGTATGTTATCTAAGAGATTGGGAGAGACTTTGAGGATGAGTGCAGAAAAAACAATTAAGACACACACACACACACACACACACACACACACACGGAGGGGGGAAGGGGGGAGGATTTGTGGAATTAAGCTCTTAACGGGCAAAGACAAAGTTTGTCCATACATAAGAGACAAAAATGCCATGAAGAAATCCTGTGAGAACTGATAATGGTGTCAGTCATGTTACAGGTGAGAGCAAAGGCTTAGAGAAGAGAAATGTTTTTGCTTTCTTTCCCCCTAGGAACTAGAAAAGCTCTTGCATCAACTCTTATTCTCCCCCCAAATGGAAGAGGCAGCACATGCAAAGACACCCCCCCCTCCGAGCTCCCCAAAGGCACTGGCTCCTAAGCACGGAAGCCTGGCACTTAACCATCTTTCCAGCCCATAGCACATACCTGTGGAGATCAGGCTCATCAAGTTCTGTGCCTCACAGTCAAAGAAAAACCAGCTAATATGCTTCTGAGGGAAATTTTCCAGCCCAGGGAGGACTATTAAAGAGTGGTTAGGTGTGCCCAGGGCAGCGGCTGCCGTGTAAGCCCGTCTCTGGCTAGGGGAGCCTTCCAGGGTTGTATTTTAACCTTCTGGATTTATAGAATTCTTGTTTTCAATAACAAGAGCTGTCACTGGGCTTCAGTTTTCTGTTCTCAGGGTGTAGGGGAGAAGGAAGCCCTCTGTAGAATCTTGTCCCTGGAGTACAAGTCTCTCCCTCCCTCCACAATTACTACCTAGGTTTGTTCTAGAAGCTGTTTCAGTCTTAATTGGAATTTAATTACTTTATACAACAAACTTTGGAAATGGTCCTTGAAGATACGGTCTTGAGTTTAATTACCTTAACAGAAGGACATGCAGTGAGGAGGTGAACAGCTGCCAGGTTCTGTGTCTCGAGTCCCCTCTCTCTTCGCCTTCACCAAGTTCTGTAAAAGAAGGAGTCCTGCTTTCCAGGCACAGAAAAAGCAATGTCCTCTTCCTTCCCTTGACCTGTTCCACACATGAGAGTATGACCCACGCCGTCCATCTCTGGAGATTCCACTTTCCGAGAAAGTCTCAGATACACACTGGGGAGAGAGGGGTTCTCCTTACTGTAGGCACCTTGATGTTTCAAAGTCTTTCATGAGTGATTGCTTCCTTCCTTTAAACAACAACTGGGACACCCCCAAACCCAGTGGAATTCCATGTGAAAGACGAACCCTGTCCCATATCAACGGTCAGTACGTACGAGAAGGTTATTGACTGAATTATTGATGGAGGCAGTAAATTTACTAAGGGAGCCAAATTACTAGGTGAATTTAGGATAAACTGTGTTCTGCAAAATTGTGTGTCCCTTATTTGATATTGAGTTAGAGTTTATCTTTGACAATCTTAGTACATTCCCACTAATTCTACTTACCTTTTCAGCAGGGGTCAATACTGTCACTACTTGGTGGAGAACAGGTAGGTACAGTTGGTAATGACAGAGTCCATCAAGATGGCAGTGTCCCTGCCTTCTGTGTATTTCATGATGGGATTCTCATACTGCATTACCAAGGGGAAAGGCAGGGTGGGGCCTTGTGAGAAATTTCCTCTGGTCTATGCTGACATCTCTACTGGTGTGGCCAATGTGCAGTCTTGTGCAGGCAAGCATGGTCCTCTGACACAATCTTTTTGCCCCCTCTTCTTAAACGTTTCTTGAATCTTAGATGTAGGGGACGTATTATGGATTTATCAGTTGAAACTGGGCACCATATATATATACATATATATATATACATATATATATATATAGTTTCTTATTTAGGGTTTTAGATTTTTGCAATGACCATAACAACTTTTATAAAGGAATACATTTAATTGGGGTTGGCTTACAGTTCAGAGCTTTGGTCCATTATTGTCATGATAGGAAGCAGCGTGTCATGTAGACAGATATGTGACTGGAGAGGTGTCTGGGAGTTTTACATCCAGATCAGTAGGCAGCAGGAAGAGCGTGACACTAGCCCTGGCTTGCTTCTGAAACTTGAAACCTCACCCTTAGTGACACACTTCCTCCAACAAGAGACCACACCTACTCTAACAAGGTCATATGCCCTAATATTTTCAAATAATGTCATTCCCTATGAGCCTGTGGGGTCCGTTTTTATCCAAGCCACCATAGTGGGTGAGGCTATATTTATCTGTTGGTATGAGCACAAGTATTTGGAACACAGTTTAAAGCAATGCTGATTTGGGAAAATGGCAGTTGTAGGTTTCTCCCCTACAGTCTATGGCCTTTCCATTTATGGGATATTGGCTAGGTTTATAGATAGTGTCAAGTATGAGTTTTCTCCTATTGAACACCCATCCCTTAAATCCGATTAGATAGCTGTTGGTTATCCCCAAGATATAATGTTGAAACCATTAGAGATATCTTGCCAGGTCAGTCATTGTGGTTTTTAGGCTTTACAACCGAATACAACTGCTGCTTGCTTTTCTCCCTTAGCAGTGTGTGCATGATCTTATACTACTATTAAGAGGTAGCTCTCAGAGGGGAGGCTTCCAAGTCCATAACCAGCTTGATTCCCCCAAGTCCTTTATGTGAAGTTTGTGATATCTCCAGCAATAAGGTCTTGCCTTCAAGTTCTGGGGGGTAACAAAAGATGATGGCTATAGCCTATATTGTTCTGGGGGTCTTTGGACAGCTTTGAGCAATAACTCAAAGAGCAGTGTTCCTTGCTAGACACTAGGGTTGTCGTTAGTCAGTGGTTTCTGGGAGAATTATTATCCTCTGTGTGTGTAATTTGTTTAAATATTTAAACAAATATTTAAGTGTTTATATATGTATATATATATACATACAGAGATGAATAATATGCATTTTTTAGTCAGCTTATAGAGTTTCCCTATAGCCTTTTCAAATATCCTTCATGTTATCTCTATTATCGTTCCCTCCTTTATATTACTTTCCATCATCCTCCCCTTGTGTTTCTTTTTTACAAAAAATTTATTTTTCAAATGATCTTATGAATTTTTAAGTGATGGGTAAACATTTCCCAGATATTCATTTATTTCAGCTTAACTAACCCATTGTTCACTTGGTATTTAGCAGGTTTCTTCATAAGGCTTCTGGCTTCAGTGAGTTCACATAATCTATGTGGAATCCTTCAAAGATCACAAGAGAGCACCAGATCTCATTATAGATGGTTGTGAGCCACCATGTTTGGTGGGAATTGAACTCAGGTCCTCTGGAAGACCAGTCAGTGCTCTTAACCTCTGGGCTATCTCTCTCCAGCTCTTGATCAATTAGGTTACTTTGTGGTGAGAAATGAACTCATTTAGACCTTTCAGATTCGATAGGACACTAGTCTAAAATGACATTCATCTTTAGAATTTTTTTTTAGATTTTTTATATTGTGTTTGTGAATATTTGCCTGTATGAGTATCTGTGTATTGTGTGCATGCCATGGCTGGAAGTTGGAATAGGGTATCAGAGTCCCTAGGAATGGAGAACAGATCATTGTGAGCTGCCTGTGGGTGCTGGGAATTGAAACAGGGTCCTGCGGAAGAGTATCCAGTGCTCTTAACCACTGAGACATCTCTCCAGCCCTGGCACTGGTTTATAAAGGTGTACTGTAGTTTTAAAGGTAAAAGGTCACTCTTCCCCACCAATCTGAGTTGAGGTTTCACAAGAAAAGGTGACCGATGAAGGTTTTTGTATAAAATCCAGATTGCCTTGTGAAGATGCCAATGTTATTTGATAATCTATATTTATTTATAAGTAGTCTCTTGTTTCTCCAAGGACACTTTCAAAACTTATTTATTGTTTTAATTTTTAGCGATTTACGATGTGCCTGGGTGTGGACTTAATAGTTTCCTGCTGCAGACTTTGCATATTCTCTCTCTCTCTCTCTCTCTCTCTCTCTCTCTCTCTCTCTCCATGTAAATATGGAGCTGATTTCTGGTGTCATCTTCCACTATCATTCTCCACCTTATCACTATTTTTGGTTCATATTTGCCTGTGTATAGCCTGCACATGGAGGTCAGAGGGGAACTTATGGGAGTAGTTTCTGTCCTTACACTATGTGGGTCCCAAGGACTGAACTTGTTTCACCAGGCTTGGTGGCCATCTCACCCACCCTCTACACTTTGTCTTCTGAAACAGGATCTCCCTCAGAGCTTATAGATTGGGTAGTTGTCCCGTGAGCAGGCAGGGTCTTCCCTACAACACCTTCTCAGTGCTAGAGTTGCTCGTGTCATTATGCCCGGCTTGTTTTATTCCACATGGAACCTAGCGATCTAAACTCAGGTTCTCAGGCATGCACAGCGAGCACATTGCTGAGAGAGTCATCGCCCCAGCTCTGCCTCAGCCTCCTTCTCTTCCTCCTTTATCCTCTACCCTCCCCTTCCTCCCTTTCTTAACCCCGAGTCCTGAGATAGCAGGCACGCACACCCACACCTACCAAAGTGTTTTGATCTGAAGGTACCCGATTTTAAGCATTTTTTCCAGTCATCATTTGTTCAAACATTATGAAAGGATTTGTAGGCAATAATCACTGCGAGATTCATGTTCTTATTTTTATTTTACTGGCAACAAAATCTATGAAAAGAAGTAAATGAAAGTCACTTGATGAAACTACTATAAAGTCTATATTTTCAAATTCTGTTCCTTACACATGTAGATTTGCAACAATTTTAACTTAGCATTTCCCTTAGTTTTACTTATTTTCTACATACAGCATTGGAGCCATTTTAATTTTGATTCAATTTTGCTTTTCTGGAGAGAAGCCCAAAGTGGCAGCAATTTAAGAAACTCAAAATCCGGTCTGTTCTTCCTGACGCTGTATCAATGGTCAAGCACCTCCTGTCTGTTCTTCCTGACGCTGTATCAATGGTCAAGCACCTCCTGTCTATTCTTCCTGACGCTGTATCAATGGTCAAGCACCTCCTGTCTATTCTTCCTGACGCTGTATCAATGGTCAAGCACCTCCTGTCTATTCTTAATGCTCAGCAATCTTCTATTGTGGTTCAGATTTTATACATTGTTCTTCACCCCATCCCTAGGTTCTTACATCACTTCCTTGTGAGTCGGTTCTCAGAAACTGATTTAGAAAGTGCTTGTGTGCTCTAGTCTTATTGATAGATACATTTAAAGCTTGTAAGAAGAAAACCATGAGACTAAGACAAGTAATATTTTTATATCCACACTGCAAAGTAATAGTTATACTGGAAACTAGTTTAAGGAACTGTAAGATAAAATTATAACAGAAATTGCTAACAGTTTTTTTTGTGTGCAACCACACACAAAATAAATATGTACTCACCATTGTAAAACTGAACCATGAAGTACCCAAATGTTTACAGGGGTTCTCGTCAGAGGTGCTAGAAATGCTGTTTTCAAATAGGGTACAAATATGTCTCTGACAATTCTAGAGTTTTGTGTTTAGAGGTTGTATAATAAGTTATCTCTCAGTAAGAATTTTTCATAATGGGTTCACTCAATAGCTTGTAACTAGAACCGTATTCTCTACCCAGTGCCTTGTTGCATGAATCCAATTGCAGAAACTGTCAATTAAATTACAGTAGAATCAGATCCTTTTGCAGTTCTTTGGGGACAGAGAAATGGATAATGTTGTCGAGAGCCCACATCCCTACAAAGGGCAGCTACAGACAAGTCCTCTCTGCTTGAAAACTCACTGAAAAAAGAGGAATTCACATTTTCATCAATGCAGCAGTTATGGGAGGATCTAGACTGAAACTTTCCTGTGTATTCATTATCCTATTATCACACGGTCTATAATCTATTTTCACATAGAAAGTCCTCATGCACCCATGAAATGTCTCAGTGCATTGGTATCAATGGATTCTATTGACTGAAATTGCACAGTACCTGTCATCCCAGACGAAGGTGCTTTGATTCTTCATCATTTCCTTACAATTATTTTCTATGGCAGGATAATTATTAACCTTTTTTTTTTGTGCTTAGGAAACTAATAATTGTGTTTAGGAAACTACATTTTCCCTCATTTTCAGAAGTATTGTTTACTTGGGATCAAAAGTGAAAAATGACAATAATTGTAAAAATAAGACTTATTGATTTTTTCATGTAAATTTTCATAGTAGAAAGTTTGGGAGAGAAACGAGAGAGATAGATTTGTACTTAAGAGTGCTGTGTGCTCTTCCAGAGCACCTAGGTACAATTTTAAAATATATAACATTTTCCTTGATAAAAATTCTCAAAGAACAAATGTTCCTGTGGCTATAGAGCTAAGAATAAGAAATTTCTGTCAGAAAAGAGAGATATTCTAGTTCTCTTGATAAAATTTGCCTAATTTATTCTCACATATCCTACTGGAATCACAGTCCTGAGAAAACCATTTTCACAATCTGCAACCAAAGCCCCTTATCCAGGGTGCCTAGTTGGAAGAGATATCTCTATCGCTGTAATTTGCTTAGATCTTATTCAAATCAAGGCTATGAGTCACCAGGATTACTGCTTAAGAATAAAAACATGTTTAAACTGTTTTGCTTAGATTTCGTTTACCCACAGTATTACAGAGCTGAGAATTCTTTCCTGCTTACTAAACAGATAAAGGAGAAAGACAATTTCTCAATTTCTTCCAGTGAGCATGCCAACACTCAGCCAAAAGTCCATCCCTGTGAATCAACACAAGGGGGCTGAAGATTGCATAACCAAGGACCAGAAATTCTCGAACAATTATCATCTCAGAATCATTTCCTAAAGAGAGACTTAATAATAGAGAAACAGCACAGTCAGTCCAATAAAAGAAAACAAAACAGAGCATCAGAAGGATGACACTCTGAGCAGCTCTCAGCTCAGGGGGAGTTCTGTACAGAAGCTTGGAGTTCTGAAGGTAGAGCACATGCTGGTGGTGCTTGTGGAGAAGAAGTACCATGTAGCCACTGGCACCTCCCATGGCTCCCTGAAACACAGCATCTCTCAAAACCATGAGAGGGAGAATAATCCATTTTGTTTTCTGACTTTCTAGCATAAAATGACAATAGCTGTAACCATTCTTAAGCTGTGATATATTCAGGTTTATACTTGTGATGGAATGAATTAGGTTTACACTTATTAAAGCATTGAGTATCCAAAAGAATGAAAAGAATGGAAGGATGTGCCATGCAGACTGTGGTCTGAGCCTCCTCCATCCAGATGCTCTGGGACTGATGATGATGGCCTGGACCACAGTGAGGAGACTGCTGGTGCAGATGGAGAGGCCACGGGCCACCCTCTCCAGGTAAATTAGGATTTTACATACTATGTCATCTAGGAAGTTTCTCAAACCAAAAGCTATCATTGTGTTTGGCAATCCTTTTGCAAGAAGGATTATGATGTTTGTAAAAGCCAAGTGGATGAGAATAAGGTGTACGGGTTTCTTCTCAGTGCTCCCCCACCAACTGAACATATAATTCACAGAAACAGAAATGTTCCCCAGAGTTCCAACCACAGTCATGAAGAGGAAAACTATTTGCTTAATAAATTTCAAAAGCATTTCTTCCTTCCTAGGTGTATTCCAGGCTGCAAACATTTTTCAAGAAAGCATCAGAGATGTTAGACATGGACCTGAAAAGCACACTTTTCACAATAGCCTTTTCTAGTGTGCAAGAGGCAGTGGTGGCCACATGTAATGTTGCAGATTAGTTCTTGAAAAGCCTCCTTTTCCCCACCGGGAACTCTGGGATATTGTGTGTGCTCTAACACACAGCATCTGGTTACTACTGTTCAAAATCTAAAGTTTTTTTTCTTTTTTTTAATTAATTTATTTATTTAAGATTTCTGT